CCCATTCCCTTCTCTGGTTGATCCTCAGCCCCTCAGACCTTTCTCTGATTCCTCCCTGACCCCTTCCCCTTATCCCTGCCCACCCTGTGACCCCCTACCTCTCCCTCCTCTCCCTGTGATTTCCTCAGTCTCCTCTGACACTTGGCCCCCTTTCTGACGCGCCCCCCAGTATCTTTCTGCCTGCCCTCTGACCCCCTCTTGGCCCCCTGCTCCTCCAGGGCCCAACACCAGGGCCTCACCTGGAACACGTGGAAGCCCACGGTGAGGTAGGTGAGGCCCTGGGCCCTCAGACGCCTCTGGTTGCGCTGGATGAGTGACAGGAGGACAGTGCACCTAGGGATGTGGCCCCCTCGTGCTGGGCTCCGTGCCCCTGCCGCCCCCCAGCCCCCCCATGGACCCTGCTCCTCCTCCTCGTCGCAGTCATCGGGCTCTAGCAGTGTCAGCCGGAACTGAGGGTTGGTCCAGAAGGTTCCTAGTTGGGGAGAAAGAAATGGGGTCACCTGGCCAGCCACAGTCCCCCCTCGTCCCCTGCTTGCCTCATAGGAGTCCCCTCCTGGCCTCACCAGCACCAGGCTGACTCCCGCCAGAGTTGAAGCCCCGCATCCAACGGCCTTGGAAGGTGTGGATGTGCCAGCCGCCCCCAGCCGGGCTGGGGCCCAGCACCTCCGGGCTCAGGGAGCAGATCTGGACGGTGTTGAAGTGCTGGAGGAAGTCCTGCAGCTCCATCCTGGACAGAGGCCAGCGGTCAGGCCTGCCCAGCTCCCCTGAACACCTCAGGACCCCAGGAAGGGTCTCCCAAGTAACACAGCAACCCAGATTCCTAAAATATTGCCAAGTACCTCTCAGCTGCCCCCAAATATTACCATGTCTCCAGAAAGGACCCCTAGATCAGTAAGCCTTCCAAATTTCCAAATTTCTCTGAGTCCCCAGAAATTCCCCACAAATTGCCAAGATCTCCAAACTCCCTGCTAAATATTGCGAAGGATCTCTGGTGGCTAAGGCATTTGACTGCTAACCAGAAGGCTGGCGGTTCAAACTCACCAACTGCTCCTAGGAAGGAAAATGGGGCAATCTGCCTTCCGAAAAGATTTACTGCCTTGGGACCCCAATGGGGGTTGCTATGTGTCAGAATCACCTTGATGGCAGTGGCTTTGGGTTAAGTATTACCAAATTGCTTTTAATTCCCAAATACCAAGACCATCACAATCTCTGATGGCGGTGGGTCTTTGGGTGGGTCAGACCCTTAATTATCTACAACTGTCCTTCAGCCTCTCAGTGTTGTGAAGTCTCAAGAAATGTCCCCAGTATCACAAGCCTCCCTCAATTGCCCTGATGACAACCCTCCAAACCCCAAACTGAAAGGTGTTGTTGTTGTTGTTATGTGCCGTGGAGTTGGACCCGACTCATAGCGACCCCTCCTTGGGTTTCCGAGGCAGTATCACTACGGAAGTAGATTGCCCCATCTTCCTTCCGAGGAGTGGCTGGTGGGTTTGAACCGCCAGCCTTCTGGTTAGCAGTCAAGTGCCTTAGGCACTACGCTACTGAAAGGTAGGCAGTTAGAACCCACCTATCAGGGACGCCTATTCAGTGGTTTCCGCCTTGGAAACCCAGGAAGGGGTGGCTATGAGTTGGATCCAACTCCACTGCAGTGATTTTTTTTGTTTTTGTTTAGTGTTTTTTCCTCACAGGAGAAAGGTGTGGCAGTCTGCTTCTGTAAAAGATTGCAGCCTACGAGACCCTGTGGGGCAGTTCTGCCGTATCGGTCTACCCTATAGGGACAGTGGCCAGTTCCCTCCCTATTAGGACTGTCCCTCTGAGATTCTTCTGTGACCCTTCAGGCGGGAAGTGGAGGCGGAGCCGAGACCCTACCCAACTCACCAGAACTCGCCGTCCTCCTTTTTCACCATCAGGGCATCTCGCCAGTCCCCGGGGATCGCGTCCCAACGTGGGCAGCTGGGCAGACTTGGGTGTGAGAGGTGGGCAGATGAGGCCAAGCCCCCCACCCGCCCCAGACCAGTCCCACCTGTCGCTCCAGGCCCCGCTCCACTCCACGCGGCCCCATGGGTTCCGCAGCCGCAGCAGACGCACCTTGTTGAAGCCCAGGGACATCTGACCAAGGCATTGGCGGTTCAGGGTGGCACCCGGACACCCCGCTGGCCCCTTCCCGGGCAGATCCTCACCTTATGCGTGCCCGTCACTGAGTATGCATGTCCCCTCACCAGCCCGACTTCTGTGCAGTACTCCCCGCGATCGCTCTGGGCGGAGGACGGGACAGTGAGGCCATGGGGGGGGCAGGAGGGGGGCTGCTCTTCTCTGCCCCCAACCTCCTGCCACCAAAGCACCCGTATGAATGGCACAGGGTTCAGGATGGGTGTGGCGGTTGGTGAGTAAAGGCGAGAGAGAAAGGAGAGAAGGAGGTAGAGATAAGACAAAATAAATGAGTCCAAAGGAGGCAGGCAGATGGACAAATAGACAAGAAAGGTCCAGAACGGAGAGAAAAGACAGAGAATCAGTGACTGAGCAGGGAATCCAGTAATGAATGGTTGAATGAGTTAGATGAACTCAGTGAATGAATGAGTGTGTGACCGCATCACAGAGCACTCGACCTGCAGCTGCGCAGGCTTGTGCCCATAAGGGGAGAACCTGCCTGAGAACTAAGATTAGAACACACTTGATAACATCTTCTGAGCTCCTGGATCCAGGTATGCCTGAAGCCAGTCCACTTATGAGAGCAAAATAATTTCTATTTGACTTGCTCCAGTTTGATTTGTGTGGAGCTCTAGTGGTGCAATGCCTAAGGCATTGGACTGCTAACCGGAAGGCTGGCAGTAAACACCCACCAGCCACTCTGCAGAAGGAAGATGGTGCAGTCTACTTCCCGTAAAGATTTACTGCCTCAGAAACCCAGTGGGGGTTGCTTATGAGTCAGAACTGACTTGATGGCAGTGAGTTTGGTTTTTAGTTTGATTTGTGAGAGAGAATAAGCCAACAGTAGAAGCTGAGAAGAGAAGGACACAGCCCACCCAGCCCTGAATATCCTGGTGGGGGTCCGCATGGAAGTCTGACTCTCACCAGGGCAGTGGCGCCCACAAGGGATTCCTTGGCCAGGGCGTGGCGCAGGGCGGAGAAGAGTCCTGGGGTGTCTCGCCTCAGGTAGAGCACCTCTCCAACGCCGCCAGTGAAGTCCACAAAGGCTTCGTTCATGTGGCCCCCACGCATCACCTCATAGGAGCCGTGGAGTCTGTGAGAGTGGGGTGAGGTGGGGGGTCTGAGGCATGTATCAGCAATTCGGGCATTTCCTGGGATTTCAGGGCCTCTAGCTGGGTCCTTCCAGGGTGTGGAACCCCTAGGGGCTACCCCCTGACTCATGGTCTCTTGGAGTGTGGTGGTCACCCTAGAAGCCCTGGGACATTGGGTCTTTGGTCTCTGGGATGTGGGGGTTATGGGAGACCTCTGCCAGAATTCTGGGGGTCACGGTGTGTGTGAAATTTTGTGTCCCTGGGAGAAGTCTGATTTGGCTGTGCTGGGATTTAGAGCCATGGGACAGGCATAGCAGATTTGTGGATCTCAGAGATTACACACACTATTTTGGGTGCTTTGGGTTTCCAGATGGGCAAGAGAGATGGGCTGATCCCTGAGTGGTTAAACCTTAGATGTGTTCAGTCCAGGGAATGAGGAATGTGATTCCCAGGTCCTTAAGAATCATGAGTGGTTGGTGGGTCTCTAGGAATGCTTTGTGGGAAATGGTGATGGTGGGAAGTGTTTAAGATTTGGGGTTCTTGGAGCTGGGGTGACACTGGGGTCCTGCGGGAGCTATGAACATTGGGTTTGGGATCATTGCGGGGTGTCTGAGGGACTTGGAGCTATGTTTTGAGGTGGGGCCCTGCTGTTGGGATTGGGGCTGCCACTGGGGGTGGGGTCCTCACTTGGAATAGGCCTTTTCCAGTAGCGGGGCCCAGAACTCATTCCGCTGTTCCGAGTGCACAAACATCAGCTTCCCCTCACGCACGGGCAGCCTGTCATCGACCACGACGTCCACCCAGTGGCCAAACTGCCAGAGCTGGAAAAGGGGAGAGCAGGGAAGGGGCAGGACAGAGCCTGGCTTGGTTTCCAACCTCCACCCCTGCACGGGCCTCAGCCTCTGACCCCTGACCTCTGGTGCCCGTCCCACCCATGGCCATCAAGTCGGTTCTGACCCACAGCGCCCCTAGAGGACAGAGGTGAACTGCCACATAGGGTTTCCAAGGCTGTCAATCTTTATGGCAGCAAAGCCCTAACCAAACCCACTGCTGGGGAGTCGATTCCACGTCACAGCGCCCCTAGAGGACAGAGTGGAATTGCTCATTGGGTTTCCCAGGCTGTAAATGGAAGGTGACTGCCTCTTTTCCCGAGCGAGTGGCTGATGGGTTCAAACCACTGACCTTCTGGTTAGCAGCCAGATGCTTAACCACTGCACCACCAGGGCCCCTTGTGCTCATCCCAGAGCGTAAGAATTACAGCCCCAAGGGGACACTGTCAACTGTGAAATCCATGTCACCATGAGGAAGGCCACGGCACAGGGAGAGGAACTGGGCCCTACCTGAAAGTGGAAGACGCCTGCGTAGCCATCTTGGAAACCTTGTCCAGGGGGCACCACCCGGTACAGGAGTCGGGGGTACAGAGTGAGGGAGGCGGCGGCCGCAAGAAACCAGCAGTTACCTGCAGGGGGAGGGGAGTGACTAGGATTGGGTACGGATGGAAGGAGGCTGAGGGTCGGGGAGAGGGGGAGACCCAGGGGCAGAGGGGAGGAGACCGAGGGGCGGAGCTGTCAGGGATGTCGCTGCGTCTAGATGGGTCTGGGGTTCAAGATGTCTTTAGGGGTCTCACCCAGTTTCCCTTGGCACACGTCTGTCCGGCTCATGTCTTCACAAATGAACTGGGGCTCAGCACAAAACTCCTGGGAGTGACAGGCATTCCAGGCTTCAGCCCAGGCCCAGGAGGGAAGGGCGCCTGGGAGGTCACATGCCCGGATGCCCTGTTGCCCACATCGTTCCAGACTAATGAGGGCCTCCAACCCATAAAGGGCCTTGTAAAGCCCGTGGGCAGCCTTTTGGCTTCCCTGGGCCTCCCTGAGCCCCACATGGCAGAGACTGCTCTGAGCAACAACCCCTCCTCCCTCAGAGAGGCATCCCAGTCCCCTGTTCCCTCACACCCAGGAGTCCTGGCCCCCGACCTCTTCCTCCCTCACACCCAGGAGTCCCGGGCCCCAGCCACACTTTACATGGGGCCTCATCCATTCCACCCCTTTGGCTTTCTCTGAGTCTGGACCCAGCTGGTCATAGCCAAGGGCATCAGGGCCAGCAGGGAAGTAGGGGTCACGGAACAGGATCCCTGCGTCCAGGCAGGCTGCCCGGATTGCCTCAAATCTCTGGCCCCGGAAGAGCTTCGGGCCCTCAGCCCCAGCCCCAGCATCTTCATCCACCAGCTGGATGGTGACCCTCTTGCTGCCGCACGCCATCTGGACACTGGGCTGGTGGGCTGGCCCCAGACCCTTTAACCTCCTGAGTCATGGGGGTGGGGCCTCTGCTCCAACTGAGCACTGATAGGGGCATCTTCCCTCGTTAATATTAATTGATGGTTTGGGGTGCGAGGATCAGGGACGCCTGTTCAGTGGTTTCCTGCCTGAGGCGTGAGGCCTTCAGTTGTGGCCAGAGTAACAGCTTAATGGGCTTGACTAGCAGCAGGAGGGAAGGTGGGCAGAGCTGAGGGAGGACCAGCTGCCCCCGTGAGAGCGCCAAGAAGGAGGTCACTGGGGGGGTTCTGCCTGTTTTTCTCTTTGCAGCCCTAGGGGGGGCTGGGGAGGGGCGGACGTGGAGCGGAGATGTGTCCTCTTGTCTCTCCCTGTCAGATTGTCTGTCTCACCCTCTCAAGGTCCCCTCTTCACTGCCGTCATCTCTCTTCCTTCTCAGCCTCACCGTCTGTTTACCTGTCTCTCCCTCTGGGGTTGTGCTGTCTCTTCTGTCCTTTCATCTCTCTGTCGGGTTCTCTGTGCCCGTTTGTCTTAGGTCTCCTTCACTGTCTGTTCCTGTCTTTGCCTCTGCCCTTGACAGCCACGTGTAACCCTTGTTAGTCACCACCAACAGGATCCGAGTCCCGGGGGGCGCGCTCCCCCTAAGTGTCCTGCTTCTTACCCTTCCTGACAAGGCAGTGCTCAGCCTGGTCACCCCAGCCAGGGCTGACAGAGCAGGGACCACTCTGTTCTTGCCTTCCTCAAGCTGGGATCTGGGGCCACCAGGGACCATGATGTCTGTCCTGCCTGCTCAGAGCTTGGGACCCGGGGGTGCAGCAGTATTTCCCATAAGGACACTGGAGCCATTAGAAGAAATGGACAGATTGGTCCTGAGTGACCAGTATGCACCTGTCCCAGCCAACCTCACACCCTCAGCAAGGGAGTCTCCTTCCCTGGCAGAGCTTTGTCCCCTGTGGGGCACCCAGCTGTCCCTCAGCCTTCTGCTGTCTTTTTCTCCAAGTGGACCCACAGATATTATCTGAGTCCCCACCTGTGTGGCCACTGAAAGGGATTATACACTGGGTTTTTTTCCTGTAGAATTGCCAAGGTCCCTCTCCCCAAGGAGCCTGTGTGAGAACCAGTGGCATCATTGGTGTGTGTGTGTGTGTGTGGGGGGGGTGCAGATGGCAATGGGTGACACTGTCAGAGATGGTGACACCAAAACGACAGCCTATACAATTTTTGTTCAGTGTTTTAACAGAAATATATTATTTTTTAAATAAAAATACCCCTTTGGGGGCAGAGTTATGAAAGCTTCTTAGCCATGACCAAACATGCTAAGGGAGTGAGTTGCTGGGCCTGGGGACTCAAGACCATAGTCTTGGGGAACATCAAGGTGGATTGGTACAACCTAGTCCGCAAAGACTGTGTTTGACATCCTACTTTGGTGAGTAGCAACTGGGGTCTTAGACGCTCATGAGTGGCCACCTGTTGTTGTTGTTGTTAGGTGCCGTCAAGTCATTTCTGACTCACAGTGACCCCATGCACAGCAGAACGAAACACTGCCTGATCTCACACCAGCTCCACGATCCTTGAGCCCATCATCGCAGCCACAGTGTCAATCCATCTCGTTGAAGGCCTCCCCCTCTTTCGTTGACCCTCCACCTTACCGAGCATGACATCCTTCTCCAGGGA